GACCAATCAGTCGCTGGACAGATAAGATTCTTCAGTGGAACTTCAATGAAAAACAAGCAAGCTGTACAGGGGATACTTCTGCTACAGCTTGCATGACTCAGCACCCAATCTGGGATGTGCTGTTCAGTGGATCAGCACGCTGAATCACTCATGCGCTCTTTAAGCAACACAAACAAACTGCTTCATCAAGCTAGGCATGGATGGAATCGATTCAGCTGACTGTTGCTGAAGCCCTTTCTGGTATGAAATGTAGTTTACATCTCCACTGGACAAGTGACACAGTAACATGTAAGAAATGTAAAACTGTTGGCCTAACATTTTAAGAATACTAACTAAACTATTCAGTTAGGTAAATAAGCTAGTCCTTCCTGAAACAGAAAGGTAAACCTATTTTATAGTGAATTAAATTATTTATTATTTTCCTCTTTTTCATTTTCAACTCTTAAGTTGAATATCAAGGTTAAATTAAGAAGTAGAGCAAATTACAGTATTTAAAGCTTAACAATGAATTAGAGCCTTCTTAATTAAAGTTACTGGGATAACGAGAGGGAGAAAGTATATGCCATAATTAGAAAAGTGTCAAAAGAAAAAAATTGTTTATTCTAACCTTGATCCTATTTTCTCTGCACAAAAGGCCTAGAGACAATCATTTACTGAGCATATCCCTGGCCCCAGCTGCTGGTGAACAAAGAGAAGGCTGATTTCATTTACATCCATCTCTCAGGAGACACCATTGGATTGTTTTGTTAAGAAGCTTTCTCTCATGGATTGCTCCTTAACACTTACACCCATTTCAGTCTAGTTCATACTGACATGCATGTGAATAGCATTATTAAATGATTATCTCACTTTTACTCCTAAATATCATTAGACCCAAGATTGTGTTAGAATTAATCCAACAGTGTTCTCAGGACAATCATAGTGATTCAGTTTCTATAGTATCTCTGAAGAAATTCTTAGAAAAATAAAAGCTGTAAAACAGGTAAATCATAAAAAATACAATGACTGAATTTGTCAATGTGGGTGTTAAAGATTAACATAGTGTATTTATCAGGTCAGGATACCTACAAGGCACTAATCCAAACGAAGTATGGCATTGGGACATAACCTTAGAGCACACATATTCCCTCTTCCAAATAAAAAACACAACTAAAACTTCAACATATGTTTAGTTTACCTTGCCACTTCCTATTCCACACTTCCTCAGCGAAACAATAAGTTTGCTAAGTCCGTAAAGCAGCTAGTAGAGTTGGAAACACCCGAATGCCCCCTTCCATTGTCTGACCGCCCAATGGGCTTCAGAAAACACACATTGGCACCACCTGGAAGCTTATTAGAAATGTATCCCCAGCTCCGTCTACTCAATAAAAATCTGCATTTTAACCAGAACCATACGTGACCCGTGTGCATATTATTAAAGTCTGAAAGCACTGCATACATTACTTATTAGATATATTTCCTTGGGCAAAATTTGAAGAGCTCTGAAAGACCGAGTTTCTGTATTGAAAAGTGAGATTAATAATAGTATCTACACCATAGTATTACTGTGAGAAGTAATTAGATCACTCTACTTAGTATAAGCACGTGATAAAGTCTGACATTAACTTCTATTATCTACCTCTTATTTGCGTGTTCATGACCTTTCAACTATGTTTTGAATAAAATCATATGACTACAGCAAGCAGGTAAACTAAAGCTCCTTTAATCCAGATGCCTCTCTTCATATAAGCCTACAGCAAAAGCAGAATTAAATTAATAATGCCATTTGCATCCATTCACGGCATAACATAGCACCTGTGCTTCAATTAGCTTCAAAATATTTCCCTATGAAACCATCTTTTCTATTTTTGTAGAATCAATAAGTTAAACAAAGAACTCAGTGTGCAAACAAACATGAGCCTGTCTCCCAGATACAAGATCTAACTGATTCTATACTAATTAACCATTATGACTTCTACACTCTTCCACCATGCAGGTGAGGTCATCACTGATCCCCTCACAGGATGCAAATAAAGACACTAGTTGTCTTTAAACTAAAGGATAAATGAGAAATATAAAAAAGTCTTTAAAAGCCCCCCATTCCGGTTCCATTAAGATGTGATGTGCATGGTTTTATACAACAGTATCTTATATACATAAATCAGAATCTTAAGCACATTAGTAGAAATCACCTAAACCTATTAAAGTAGAGGTTGCAAACATGTGCATCTCTAAATGTTTTACAGTGATATTCCTCTTAAGTAAACTGAAGACAATAATGCTCTAAGCAAGTTTATCTTACCGTGGACTAGTCACTACTACACATTTAAAATTAAATAAATATTGAACTAGCAATCTGATAAACTAGATATAACAATGGATGTTTCTGATACAAGATCCTAGGATACCTTAAGAACAATAATCAAAACGTTTATAAGCGTCTGAGAGTGTATATAAGAATTTGAGGGCCAAGACAACAGTGTGGAAATCTAACAGGAGCAAGTGGTGGTGTTTGACACACATATAATAAGGACCTAAAAGATCTCTAAACTGGTGGTGGCCAGGGGGTGGTGTGTGCTTACAAATAGAAAGACCAACCATTATAACAATATGGTTGATTGATATAGTTGGTAGCATTTCCCAAAGTTTTTTTTTAATCAATAATAATATCAAAACAAAATCCCAGTATAGATTTCTCAGGTTAATTACATACCCATCATGTATTGCTTGGATACAAAAATTAAGGTTTGAGTAGCCTTAAAGTACTTCTTAAAAGAACTGCATGGCAAAAGATTTAGGTTACCAGCTACGTAGCACAGTGATCAGGGATCAGTAGAAGAAAAAATCTACATAATAAATGGTCATGGGAAAATTAGCTGGCAAAAAAGGTCATTTAAATTGAAGCCAGAAATTACATATTAATGTTTCTACAAATGTATTAAATACTTGAATATGAAAAACAAAACCTGGGAATCATTAGAATTCATCATCTTTTAAAACTTAAAATATGATTTAATAGTAGCAGAGGATTTCTCAAACAGAACACTCAGAAATATTAGTAATATAAAGTTGACTTTGTTAAAATGAAGAATCTATCAAAATACACAACAAAAAATACTAAAGAGTCAGAAAGGAAACTGAAGTTAACTAGTTTTCATAGCACCAAGAATGGACCACCTTTAAACCAACTAAAGAACACAACTGTGCAAATGATATGAATAGATATTTCATTGTTCTAAAGAAAAGGTGACTGAACATATCTCCCCTTCAGAAATTAGCAGAGGGACATCCCATTTTATAGCCATTTCATTGTAAATAATTAAGAACTCTGACATTGTTGCATCTGTTCATAATATGAACTAAAACAACCTTAGATACACCAAGTAGAGTAAGTAATACACTAAGCTGACCAAACTTTTTGGTGGAAAACAACTATCATACTTTTATGAAATGCTTTTCTGAGTCTACTTTTGTCTGGCAAATCTACTATCCTGGACTGAATGTATGATGCTCTTCAAGTAGTACCTAACTATGTACATCATCTTCCTTTATTATTTATTGTTTTATTTTGACCTATGTTCATAGATAGGGATGAACATATTAACAATAAAATTCTAGAAATGAGCAATCTATACTTTTTAAGTTTCTTGTCATTCTGAGTACCATAGTAAAGCCTCACTTCATATTGCCCAGAACATGAATCTTGCTGTTGAGCCAGGATGAAGTCACTTAGTGCAATAACCATCTCAGTTATGACATGGCCATGAAAGTCTCACATGATATAGTCTTTTTCAATAGCATGATGTCTACTGTATTCACCGCATTTCACCACTAAGGCATCACCAAACCATCAGAAGATGAGTGAACACGGTTGAGCAAGGTATTTAGAGATAACTTTTATTTCTTCACTATAATTTTATTAGTGATGATTATTATTAATCTCATGTCAGTTTATAACTAAAACTTGATCATTGTTTAAAAAATACAGTATAATTAGATCAACATACTCTACGTCATCCAATTGAACCTGTCACAGATAGATAGTAAGTTTTAAAAACTGGATTGGTACAGAACATACTGTATGTGCAGTATGTTTTTCCTGTCATTGTTTCTTAAACAATACAATATAAAGAACACCCATGCATCATTTACATTGTCTAGGTACTGTAATTAATCTAGAGATTCCTTAGAGAACACAGAAAGATGTTTGCAGGTTATATGAAAATATGTTATCACAAAGGACTGTGAATCTGTATCTATTGGGAGTCTTTGAACCAATCTCCCATGGACAATTATAGGTACTGGTTAGGGTTCAATATAATTCGAAACTTCAGGCCACTACTAGGTGATATTAGGATAAGGTGGGACTCGAATCATATATAAATTAAAACTAAATGAAAGTCAATGAATTATATAGATACAGTATGAATAAAAAAAAGCAAACCTCTGAAGGCTACATATAGAATGATATATTACTATAACTCAAAGTCAGCAAAAATTTAAACATTATGTAGCAAAGCAAATATATATATAAAGCATATATATATACACATATATATATATATACACACATATATATATATATGAGAAAAAACTTTTGGTAAAAGTTAGAAGTGATTAATCAATTATTTAGCACACTGAGCACCTTGGTAGGAATGTGGGATCATGGGATAGGAGGGTACTACAGTTTATATGCTAGTAATAATAATGAGGTTATGTTTTAGTATAGATTAATATGTGATCAGTGGATTATAGTATATAATAATTCACATAAGTATTTCATGTATCAGCAATACCTCTGATGTATTATAAAAAAAAAAAAGTAATATAATAAAAATAAAGCAACAGGTAGAGGAAAGCCATCTGTTTATGTGGGATTCCATTGATTCCATGAACTCATCAGTTGAACTCAATTACCAAGGGAAAATTGTATATCAAATGAAAACTTCAAACACAGCAAGGAACAAATAACACATAGCAAAGAAGAAAAAACTCAAAGAGAAGTTTCCATCTAAACTCACCACCAGGGCTTTAGATCTGTTGCTCAGAAGTTTCTCAATGTCTCGGGCTGCAATTTCAACCAGCTGGCGTGCATTATTTGGCTCCACAGTATACAAATCTTGGTATTTTTCATAAATCTATGTTAAAGTAAAAAATAATTAGGAAGAGCAACAGCTGTTTATTTAGATACTAATTCCCATTATGAAGCGTCTAAAACCAAAACCAAGTAATTAGAAAGATCTACTCTTTTTACCTTCATCATGATTCTTTTAAGGTTTGGATATATTCCAGAAAAACATGAACAAATAAATGTAAATTTTCTATAAGACAGCTAGATTGCACAAACAATAGGTCAGGCCACTAGTTATAACATAACATAACATGTGTTCACATATACACCATCGGGGCTTAGGCTTTTCCATCATCTGAACTTCAAAACTTGATATTAACTGTCACCCCCCCCTCATTTTAAGAAAGGAGGCCACCCTAGGGAATAAAGAGAAAGCCATACATGAGAGGTCAAAGGAGGTAGACAGGCACGTATGGGCAAGGTAGAAGATGGGTCATACCAAACGGATCATGAGCTCCTTATAGGAAGAAGCCCATTCCCCACTACTGTGGCTTCTTAAGTTTATGGAGAGAGGCCAGCAGGAATGAGAGACTGAGGATGAACTCCCTGCTGTGCTTCACAGCAGTGGACAGAGGCCCTCAGAGACAGTTCACAGCTAGAGAAGTTGAGAAGTTGAAAGACATTGATGTTAAAGTTGTAGATAGCTTGAAAAGGAACATTATACTAAGTATAAGTATTTTTCTGTTTGATAACTTTTTATTTAAATCTCCAAATAAACTATGCCCAAGTTAACGTAGTACATAAAATTAAGATCCAGCCTCATTTCCAGGGCTTGATTTGATGTCTGCAAAAGTATTTTCCTCCGGTGGCATAGGCTCACTTGGTTCACAAAACCTACCCACTCCCAGCAGGAGCAGAAACTGTAAGGGGGTGGGGACAGTAGCATTGCTTGTGGCTGCAGGGTGATCTGAGAAGGAAATCCCCTACGCACTGAGCAGATGGGGCTCACATGCATGACTTAACTATCTTTAATGCCAGGGCCTGGCAGCTTTTTATTGCCTTGTGAAAAGTGAATCCAGGCGTATACCAAAACCAGTTCTACTTGCTTGTGTTATTTTATTTCATTATGTACACATTCTAAAGCCTGGTCCCAGCTGAGCATGAATGTTAAGCAATGGATGTTCGCTTCAACTATACGCAAACTCCCAACCATTTATCTGTCAAAGCGGATGTCAGTTTTCAATGAGCACACACATACATACACATTTATTTATGTATACACTTTGGGGTGTGGAAACAGCTAAAGATTGATCTCAGGGAATTACACATGTAAGGAAAGCACTCAACTATTGAAACCCACTCCTATGACTATAAATTTTAGGATATTATAAGCTAACTAATATTTTTAAGGATGTAGATTGCCATGTGCTCTAAAATAATTTATTTGAACTCAAGTCTTTTGAGCACAGGCTCATTCAGAATATTCCAAGAACTAGTTTTGTGATTTAAAGAAACTTCATAATTGGTTTCACCCAGGCCTCTTACATATCAGCAAATGCCTGAAGCTTTCACAGAATGGATTATCATGTCTTGTCCTAAACACCCTGGCTATCTTTGAAGATTTCCTCCCAACATAACAGCAGCTTTCATTTCAGACTAAAACGAGATTCTAGAACATCAATATGTGAATAGATCAATTGATTCAGGTTACAAATAGATAAACGTCAACATCGTTTTAATTGATCCAACACAGTCCAGCGAAGAACAATACAGCTAATTGACGTGCAATGTACTGGTGCTGTATCATTAGTATCTTGTGCATCTCTCTATAAAGTCTACGCTTTTGCGACAAAGGGAGTGTAAAATATGCCCCACAGTTACTGGAGGTGGATTCAGACCTGCATTTACTAGGCACAGCATGTGTCTCACCTATCATTAGGTGTCTTTAAGAATGAAAATATGCATATATTATGTCTAATGTAGACAGAATATTTTGGAACATTTTCTTTTTAAATACCTAAGAAATACTATAGTGTAACTGATCTTGCTACTTTGTGGGTTTTTCTTTCTATCCTGTATGTCCCCTGATTTCACCCCCTATCACAAAATAGGATTGAAAGAAGGAGAGAGAAAGGAAGGACAGGAGAGAGAGAGAGAGAGAGAGAGAGAGAGAGAGAGAGAGAGAGAGAG